CTTCCGATGCCTTCTTGTTGTAGGGGGAGGAGGAGGACCCCTTGGTTGAGAACGGGATATCGGGTCATAGTGAAAATTCAGCAAGTAATTCCCATTCATTGTCTGAGCTTTTCTCCCAGCCGAAGGGGCACTTCCATTAGGATTGACAGACCCATGAGTTTGTTGATTTCTATGATTAGAAGAAACCATTCCCGTTCCTGCCCGCCTTCCTCCATGACTCCTAGAACGTGTTCTAGAGTTTTGCTGAGGTGAAACCATCACTTCACTTGGAGACCCTAATTCCATCACCTAAACACACAAAAACAAAACACAAAATCCTACACTTCCATCAGACCATAACCTCCCAATAATTAAAACACAACCAAACCCCTAGATAAGGAAAACCAAAACACCTTTTCGGAAGATCCACCAGAATCCTGAGCAGCTGGAGCCGATGAACCTAACGACAAAATCGAATCACTGAATCAGTTAAACAAGCAGCAACAGAAAGCATTCAATCCCCCAAAACAACACTCACCAACTGTTAAACTCTCAATAACAACAAGCAATCAGCACAGAAAATGGATGATTATATTTGGCGGGAAGAAATCGAGAAGGAACCTGGGTTATCGGAGATCTGGAAAGATCCGAAAGCGACGTGGAGCGGAGGGGAGAGAGAAGGGAAGGGTTGAGGAATAGGGTTAGGGATTCCATGTTGGGGATTAGGGTTAGGAGATGGCGCAGACGAAGAGGAGGAAGATGGTGCTTGGGTTTGTGAGGGCAAGATGGACATGAAAGTTCTGGAAGGAGGGTTTGGGGTTGGTTCCTGCGTGATTCAGCTTCTACTTTACCAAACTGCGCTATATCAAAACACCTTTTATTTATTATTATTGTGTTGCGCGCTTCGCTGGGTATCTTTGCCGCATCTTCGCCGAATATCGCTTTTACCACCACCACAATACTACAACCATTTTTCGTTTTTTCCGTTTGCCACATATTATTATTATTATCGGCGCTGATTGTTAAAAAAATTGGAAAATAATATTATTGAATAGACTTTATCTATACGTATTATAAAAAAATAGATTTTGATAATTAAAATTTGATTTTGATTTTTATATAAGATATTATTATCCTTATATTTAATAATAAAAAATTTAAAATTTTTCCAAAAATAAATTTTTATTTTTATATTAGACATTATTATTTTTAGATTTAAATTATTAATAAAATATATTTCATATTTTTAAATTATTATAGATAATACATTTATATATATATATATATAATATTCGAATAATTATATTATATGAGAGTATTTTTTTAAAAAAAAATCTTAATAAGAGAATTAATAGATGTTATTTTAATTTTATATCTAATTTAATTTTGTTTATTATAATTA